CACTGCTGAGGTCTGGCTGGGGCTGAGGGGAAGGACAGGGTGTAAAACTTGATGTGAGATCGGAGTTTTCAAGTGGACCACATTAGACTGGATTTCTAATAAGTAAGTGAACAGAAAATTACAGAATATATTAGGACTGAAAAGGAGAACTCAGAGTATGATTGAAAACACAGATTAAAACCTCGTCAAGATTGTGTTCAGAATATTCATTAAATGATTTCTCTGTGCACACACACAAACAAAAGACAAAAAAACCCTTGAGGTAAGAGGCAGTCTGGTTTGTTGATGGAACTGATATCTGAAGATGTTTGGAATTCAGGGGGAAAGAAGGCAGGCTGGAGGACCAGGAAGAAGTCAAGCAATGACACTCTTATTAATGCGTTTGGATTTTATTCTGGGGGTCAAAGAGAAGCCACGAAATGTTTTAATGATCAAATTTGCATTTGAGAATGATCCAGCAGGGAGTGGGGTATGGACTGGAACTGGGGAATCATTTAAGAGGTGACGGTCATTTGTAAATGGCAGTGGGGACGTAGGAACACTGTAAAGCCACAGAAACAGAGAATCGCCAGGAACTGCCGGTTGAGAGGTGGGCTCGAGGCAAGGGCCGTGGGTGTTTCTCTTTCCCCACTTCTCCTTCCAGCTGACCCCACAAATGCTGCTCTCACTTCATGTGATGCCGGACCAACGTCCAGCTGCTGCCCCATGGCGATCTGGAAGGCTGTGGGCACCAGCAGTACCATTTCCAGTCTTCCCGGCAGCGACAGGAGGCAGGCTGTGCCTGAAGTGTCACCTGGCTTTGTAGCTGGCATGGTAGAGGTCCCCGCATTTAAGTGGCTTGCTTAAGTTCCCACAGATGGACGCCTCCTCCAGGTCCCAGCCAGCCCGCGTGCAGCCGCGTCCTGACTCCAGTCACCTCCCAACTGCTCCTACGCCGCCGGTGGCTCCTGCGACTACGCCGGCTCCTGCAAATGCAAAGAGTGCAAATGTGCGTCCTGCAAGAAGAGCTGCTGCTTCTGCTGTCCCGCGGGCTGTGCCAAGTGTGCCCAGGGCTGCATCTGCAAAGGGGCATCAGAAAAGACGGGCCCGCTCCCACTCCTGGATGTAAATAGAGCGACGTGTACAAACCCGTATTGGTTTTTTTTTTTTAACCTGCAAACCTGACCCATTTGCTACATCCCCTTTTCTATGAAATTTGTGAATGATAATAAAAGTTGATTAAAAAAAAAAAAAAGATCCCACAGATGGTTTGTTACCGTGTCCAAATTTCACCCTCAGCTTTAGGGCTCCTTTAAGAACACTTCATTGCTGCATCCTGAAGTCAAACAAAATAAAGAAAAATATGAAAGCAGTAGCTAAAATACACAGCCTTGACTGAGCACAGCGAAAGAAACACCTAGAGCTGTGCTCGGCTGTCGGGCCTTTCGATATGCGCATGCGTTCCAGGCTGAGGTCGGCCCGGAGAAGGTGGGCAAGTGCGCATGCGCCCCAAATACGCCTCACCCTCGGAAAAAGGGAAAGTGCGCAAGTCCTCCAGGCTCTAGGCCGGCCCCGGAAAAGGAGGGGAAGGAGTCTAAAAGAGTGGACTAGCCCTATCCATTCACCTAATGATCCTACGTTTGGATAATGAAACTCATGTTGTGGCGAATCCCTTCCTTAGACGCAATACCGATGCCTTACAGTTTCTCCATAAGCGCCGCGCCTTTCCCGGAGGGCCAAATCCAACGAGTCACGGGACCGGAAGCACGCCCGCTTCAAACTCAGCTTTACTCCGGGTAGACTGGGGAATCATTTAAGAGGGGAAATTGGCTAAGCCTATTGGCTAGTGGCAACCCGGAAGGGGCGGGGTCACCCTGCCTGCCTTGGGGGCACTCTGGATATTGCAGTTCTAGCGATCGCCGTCCAGGCTGGTAAGAGGGAATCTTTGAGGACAGTAGGTCTGAGCTGGTTCAAAGAAGTTGCTTGCACGGGGAATCGAGTCTGGACTAGGTCCGTGGATGCGGCTTTGTTTTGCTGTTTCTCGTTAGTTGAGACCTCCTTCCTTCTGTCTCACCTTCGCGGACGCTTAGTTACCTCCTATACCTTTGGCTTCCCTCTTTATACCTACGGATCCCTTTTTATTATCCCATGGTGGCTCCTAGTAGTCTAAAGTAGCCTGTCTCGGTTCTCTTCCTCACGCTGCGCCTGGAGTCTTCATCCTTTTCCCCTGTGAGTGCCTTTTCCTGTTTTTGTCCGAGACAGCCTCTCTAACACTCTGCCCTTGTCTCAGAAGTCAAGCCAAAGACCCCAAGAAAAGGATCAGCTCTGATCCCACTTCAGCATCCCGGCAGTTCACTTTTTTCTGCTTCTCTTCTGATCCTTGTTTCTCCCGTGGTTCCACCTCTGTGTAGCCTCTGCTTCTTTTAAATCTGGTGGGCGACCTCTGATCATAGACGGTATCCCTCAGACCTGGCTTCCACAGCTTGGTGATACTACAGAGGGCTTAACCCTGGATTGGCTTCTAGGTCAAAGAGTGGAAAGTGAAAGAAACTGGAAAGAAGAAGAGGGGAGTTTCTGAACTAGATTCGTTAGAAGTCAGGGAGATATACGGCGAAAGAGGGGGAAGAGAGCAAATCTTTTCTTCCTGTTTTTCCAAAAACTGTTGTTGTTGTTGTTTATTTTGCTTTGTTTTGAGGTCGGAGCCATACTCTATCACCCAGGCTAGAGAACTGTGGTAAAGTCATGGCTCACCGCAGCTTCAAACTCTTGGGCTCAGGTGATCCTCCTGCCTCAGCCTCCTGAGTAGCTGAAACCACAGGCGCAGGCCCCCACACCCAGCTAATTTTTAATTGTGTGTGTGTGTGTGTGTGTGTGTGTGTGTGTGTGTAGGTAGAGATGAGGTCTTGCTGTGTTGCTAGGCTGGTCTTGAACTCCTAGGTTCAAGTGATCATCCTGCCTCAGCCTCCCAAAGTGCTGGGATTACATGCATGAGCCATTGTGCCCAGCCCTTGCGTCTCTAAAGTGTTTAGTGCTGTCTGTGTGCGGGGCTCTGTGAGCTCTGTGCTGGGGATGAATTAGTCGGGATCCACCTAGTTGCTGGGAGTCTACTTGGAGAGGACACAAACGTGCAGGTGAGCAACAGTGCCAGATGACATCACTTTCTCTTCTACCTTCCTGTGTGTTGTTCTGCTCATTCCATCTCTTCCTTAGTTCCAAAGTATTTTGCCTCTTTATGCCTCCCTCTGTTTCATTTTCCTTGCCCTCTTAAAGCCCCCTTCCCTCCTGTTCTTACCCAAACTGCTTCTTTTTTACATCCTGCTGTTTGGTCACTCTGACATCAGAAAGTATTGCAGGGACTGCCATGTTCGGGGGGATTCTTTTCCTTTTTCTTGAAGTTTTAAAGTTATAAGACTTTTTTTTTTCCTTTAGAAAATTGTTTTAGCCGGGCTCGGTGGCTCAGCCTGTAATCCCTTGGGAGACTGAGGTGAGTGGATTGCCTGAGCCCACGGGTTCGAGACCCACTTGGGCAACTTGGCGAGACCTCATTTCCACAATAAATCAAAAATTAGCCGGGCATGATAGCGCGTGCCTGTAGTTTCAGCTACTTGGAAAGCTGAGGCGGAAGGATCACCGGAGTCCAGCAGGTTGAGGCTGCAGTGGCTGGGAGTGTGCCACTGCACTCTAGTCTGGGCGACTTGAGTGAGACTCCAACTCAAAAAAAAAAAAAAAAAAGGAAAATTGTTTTAAAGGTCCGTGGTACAATTCAGGATGAGGCAGTTAGAGAGGTAATCATACAGGTAAAATTTGGGCCTCCCTTTGGACCCTTATTGATGTTATGTGCTCCCTCTCCCCCCTCCTGGCATAATCCTGCTATGGTAAAATCCCTTATAGTATTATAAATGTTCAGGATCCACTTATAAGTGAGAACATGTGGTACTCAGCTTTTTGTTTCTTGATAGATCACTGAGTACGAGAGACTCTGAATCCATCCAAGTTGCTGCAAAGTCCATAGTTTTGTTCTTCTTTTTTTTGTATTTTGAGTTGGAGTCTCACTCTGTCACCCAGGCTGGAGTACAGTGGCACATTGATGGCCATCGCAGCTTCGACCTGCTGGGCTCAAGCAATCCCTCCGCCTCATCCTTCCAAGTAACCAGAACTACAGGTGCGTGTTACCACACTTGGCTAATTTTTTATTTATTGTAGAGACGAGGTCTCGCCAAGTTTCCCAGGCTGGTCTCGAATCCGTGGGCTCAGGCAATCCACTCGCCTTGGCCTCTCAAAGTGCTGGGATTACCGGCTGAGCCACCGAGCCTGGCTGATTTTTAGATTTTTTTAGGAATCACCACACTGTTTTCCGCAGAGATTGTACTAGTTTACCTTTCCACCAACAGTGTACATGCATTCCGTTTTCTCTGCATCCTCTCTAGCAAGTGTTGTTTCTTGAGTTATTAATGATGGCCATCCTAATTGGAGTAGGTGGTATCTCAGTGGTTTTAATTTGCATTAATTTGATTGGTGAGGCTGAGCACTTTTTCATGTATCTGTTGGCTGCTCTTGTGTCTTCTTTTGAGAAATGTCTATTTATATGTTTTGTCCACTTTTTAATGGGGCAGTTTGTTTTTTTCCTTTCAACACATTTGAGTTCCTTTTAGATGTTAGGCCTTTGTTAGATATACAGTTGGCAAATATTTTTTTCCGTTCTGTTGACTGTCTCCCCACTCTCTTGATAGTTTATCTTGCTTTGCAGAAATTTTTCAGCTTGATGGGGTCCCCCTTGTCTATCTTATCTCTTATGGCATGAGCATCTGGGGTTTTGATCATGAATTGGTCATCTACTCCGATTTCTGTAAGAGTATCTCCTGTGTTTTCTAAGATGCTTATGGTGTGAGGTTTTACGTTTAGGTCTTTGATCCATTTAGAGTTGGGTTTTGTGTATGGTTATAGGTAGGGGTCCTGTTTTAATCTTCTGCATGTGGCCAGCCAGTTTTCCCAGCACCATTTACTGGATAGGTTCTCCTTTCCCCAGTGGTTGTTGGTGGAGGCTTTGTTAAAGATGAGATGGTTAAAAAATTGAGGTTTTGCTCTCGGAATTTCTATCCTGTTCCATTGGTCTACATGCCTGTTTTTGTACCAATACCATGCTGTTTTGATTATTGCAGCCTTATAGTTTGTTTCTTTTGCTAAGGATTGTTTTGGCTATTCGTGGTCTTTTATGTTTCCATAGAATTTTTGTATTGTTGTTTTCAGATCTGAGAAGAATGATGTTGGTAATTTAATGGGTATTGTGTTGAATCTGTAGATTACCTTGGGTAGGATGGACATCTTAACAATGTTGATTCTTCAAATCCATGAGCATGGAACATTCTTCTATTTGTTTGTGTCTTCTTCGGTTTCTTTGAGCAGTGTTTTGTAGTTTTCTTTCTGTCTTTTTTTGAGTTGGAGTCTTACTCTGTTGCCCATGATGGAGTGCAGTGGCATGCTTATGGCCACCACAGCCTTTACCTGCTGGGCTTAGGCAATCCTTCCGCTTCAGCCTTCCAAATAGCTGAAACTCAGGCACATATTACCATGCCCAGCTAATTTTTTGATTTACTACAGAAATGAGGTCTTACCAAGTTGCCCAGGTTGGTCTTGAACCCCTGGGCTCAGGCAGTCCTCTTGCCTCAGCCTCCCAAAGTACTGGAATTACAGGCTTGAGCCACTGTGCCCAGCCCTGTAGTTTTCATTGTAAAGGTCTTTCACGTCTCTGGTTAGGAAGATGCCAAGGTATTTCTTTTCTTTTCTTTTTCTTTTGTGACTGTTGTTAATGGGATTGTGCTATTTATTTGGTTCGCTGCCTATTTGTTGTTGGTGTATAAGAATGCTACTGTCAGCCGGGCTCGGTGGCTCAGCCTGTAATCCCGCGCCTTTGGGAGGCTGAGGTGAGTGGATTGCCTTAGCCTA